CATGATGCGAAGAAGGAAGCAGCCCAACAGAAGCCTTTCTCGCCGATGGTAATTTTCTGAATACCTTTATACTTCTACGACACGCTCCTACTAATTGAGATCAATATGGGGAGGTTAAGCCAGTAGAGGCGATAAAGCCTGAGAAAGAATTTTGATGAGGGGTAGAAGAAGGTGCTGGCGAGTACCATACGAAAAAGGTTCTTAACTTCAAGGCTCAGTTGTAGTTTTTTGCCTCTTCCCAAATTCAACCGTTTAGACCTTCGCACTCAATCTTTATTCATCTGTATCATGCATTTCATTTCAAGCGTGATTATGTCGCCATTCAGGTTGCCACTACCCAAACCATGTCGGTGACGCCCACTACCTTAACAGGAACGGGTTCATCAGCAACATCATCTGGTTTCAAGGTACCTTTATCTGCAAAATATATGAAGCCGCCCCTTTTCAGTGTTACCGATCTCATTATGACTAATACCTGAAAGCTTTTTGAAGCGCAGCGCTAGTGAAGCGGTTCATTCGGATGACTGACGTCCTGGAGAAAGAATCATTCAGGATCTGCAGCAATAATTCCCATTGCAAATTAGGCGACTCCAGACCCATTGCCGGAATCTTATCCTCTGAGTCGATTGTTTACATTTGTCTTTGACCATGAAGGAGCGAAATTGCAAAGGCCAAAAACATGTTACAGTCTTCTCAGAGTTACAGTTACAGTCTTGTCTGACTCACAGAGAAAGGGTGCTGTGTGAGCCAAACAAGCGAAAGATGTGGACAAGATTACGTTATTGGGTGTGAGCCAAACAAGTATTCACCTTTTGATGGTCGTTTAACCCGGGTTTTGAAGATTCGATAATGGTTTATGATTCCTCGTGTAGCGAAGGCAGTCATACAGTGTGTTTCAAAAGTATGTGCACACCCAACATTTTGGTTTTTCTTTGGGATACCATTGCATTCTGTAACCTGTGACCTTCACGATTTAATTCCTTGTGTACGATAACCTACGAACACTTTCTCTGAGAGAACATCGTAGCTGCTAACATAAT